TCTCCTCAAAAAATAGATCGCTTCCATTGTTGACCTGCCAAGCATAAACCTAAATTGATTCTCTGACACTTCCGTTATATCTCGCAATCTGCGTTCTATCACCCTCTCCCACACTTTCATTATATGACACATTAACTTGATTCCTCTATAGTTGTTGCAATTCTAGACATCACCTTTATTCTTATAAATTGACACTAAAATACTTTTCCTCCACTCATTTGGCATGTTCCTAGTCAACAAAATTTTGCTAAACAACCTAGTCAACCAAGCAACTCTTTTTTACCCAAACACTTCCAAACTTCAATAGGGATATCATTTGGTTCTAAAGCCTTATTTGATTTCATCTTCTTAAGTGCAATCTCCACTTCAAAGTTCCTAATCCCGCGATAGAACCTATAGTTTTGGTTTATCATATTACTGGCTATTTCTTCCCCTATTGCCGTACCTCCATATTCCTCATTTAATAGTTTCTCAAAATAGTTCTTCCATTTTTCCTTAACCTCTTCATCCCTCACCAATACCTTAGAATCCTCTTGATGCACTTAACTTGATTAAAATCTCTTATTTTCCTCTCCCGTATCTTAGCAAGTTTGTATACCCTCCTGTCTCCCTCCTTACTATCTAGTCTATATTTTTATACAAAGGTATTAAAATACTTCTCTACTTGTTAGACATTTTCCGTATTATTAGAAAAAGATTAATAAATTTGTGAGCCAAGACACCCCTTCTCACATAAACATTCCCAGGCCTCACTAGGGATACACTACTAGTGGCATACCTTATTTCATCTTCTTTTGTACAAATTTCACCTAGAACTTCTTTATTCTATGATAAAACATTTATTCTCTAGTTCATCAGGTCTATCATATCCCTCCTCTAAATTTCTAAATATAATTTATTTAACAGATTCTCAAAATAACCTTCCAAATTTTCTTGATCTCTTCATCCTTCATTACCACCATTGAATCATTATTCTTTACACATTTAACCTAATCTCAACTTCGCAACCTTGTAAATGTTCTTTTCTTCATACTTATAGCCTAATCTAATATAAAGGTTGCCATAAGCTTTCAACTTAGCATCTCAAACTATCCTTTAACCTTCTTGTTAGCCCATTTATAACTCTCAAAAGCTTCTCATTTTTATGTTTTTAAAGAATTCCATTTTTTTGTTTTGAGTACAGCTTGTACCTCATCAATCCACCATTATATATGACATCTTCCTTTCAACTCTCTGATGACTTCTTTAAATTTTTTTTTATAATGCATTCCGAGCACATTATTAATTTCATCTTCCAAATTTCACATTACCTCTTTAAATATTTTATCCTTAAAACATTTCTAATTTTGCACCTTTCCAATTTAACCATCTAGTTTGTAAGTTTCTAATATTTTTTATGGTTCAATATCTCCCATTTAATGTACATATTTAACATTAGCATTTCCAATGGAGTGCTAAAACAGCTGCCAAAGCTATTTTTTGGCAAGGCCTTCTCAAATTTGCTCTCCAGTGGTCTACCAAAAGGCTTGCCAAATTATGGCATTGCCAAATCTTCCACCTCAGCAAAACCCAACTGTTGAAGCTACCCTTGTATCATCTTCCCAGCAAAAGTCCAACCCAGAACAATTAAGATCAAAACTCACAATCAAAAAACAAAATTGCAAAATGGCTAAAATAACATAAACTCAAAACTTTAAATTCTAAAAAACAAAAGTTACTAAAATCGCATCTAAGATCCCATCGTCGAGGATCCCGTGAGGATCGCCATTATAGAGATTTGAGAACTAGCCAGTGATCTGAAATTGTTGTTGCTGAGAAAGAGAGGCAGAGTCGTGTGCGGTCATCGATGATTCGTTGAGCTATCCAACAATATTATTGATCGTCATTAATGGTGACAATTTGAGAGATCCTGTTGCCGTTGTTCCCCTTAGATCACGTCATTTCCTTCCTCAAGATGTGATCCTCACTATGTTCCCCTCATCGGATTGTGATCTTTGGTTGATCTCAAGGGCTTCATGACAGCAATTGGAGATTCATATGAAGAGAAACTCCACTCGTGGATGGCTCTCATCTTCAGTGGAGATCTCCTCTCTATCTATCTGTGTGTGTGTGTGTGTGTGTGTGTGTGAGAGAGAGAGAGAGAGAGAGAGAGGTTGTGAGAATTGATATATAGAGGTAGACAGACAGATGACATTGAGAATGATACAAAGACGTGAATAAAAAAATTAAAAATAAAAAGACAATGATCTAGAGACTTTGCAAAGGCCATAGATCTTGCTTTTTGAGGTGCCTATCCAAATTGTTATAAATTAATGTCCATCCAACAGAAGTTAACTCATCCAATAGCTAAGATAAAAGTTGATTGTGCCAAAATGGCATTTCCACCATTGGAGTAACATTGCTAAAATTAAACATTTTGGTATTTAAGCATGCCAAATTATAGCTTTGGCATTGCCATATTGGCAACCACCATTGGAGATGCTCTATGTTGTAATGTCAAACTCTCTAGAAGACAGGCAATCTTCCAATCTTCACATGTTAAGTGGTATCAAGGTCTCATATTTGACCCACTTTTAAGGATATTCAGTGTTCCTATCTCTCTTTAAATAGAGTGCCGGTTACCATAAGATCAAATGCTAGTGCAAAATCTAAAATGCCCCTCTATCCTCGTTTCAGTCACCAAAACCATATCTACCATGCACCCTCATTTCATATCCTTGCTTATCTTTTCCTGCTTGAACGTTAAAATCTCCACCTATAATTAACTATTCTCCCACTGGTATCTTGCATTAATTCATCCATTTTGCACTAATTTATCCATTTGATCCCAAAATTGTCCTTAATATAGTTCATCTAATTCTACTTCGGGTATTTTGGTGCTAAATTTTATAGCCAACAATTTTTCTGGTTTTTGCTTTCTCACTCACTGTCTTAGTTTCTTGTAATACATGGACTCATGTACGATGCATGCTAGATCTTCTTAAACCTAAATAGTTAGATATTGGGACATGTATCCAAAAGTTGGGTATATCATACATGTAGACACCTCTATAATATTTAAATATATCGTGTGTTATATGATATTCTACCATAAGATGTAAAATTATTAGGAATTATCAAAGGAGCACTGAGACACATGATAGGCTCGAGGCACACTTGAGATACCTCAATACCCCCAAGGTGAGATGACTTTAATGAAGTGTAGCCAATGTGCTCATCAAGGCATGTGATGCCCACAAAGGCGCAAAGAAGTACACACCTTTTTTTAATTTTTTCCAATTCGTCACATCCTATCAAGGCCCTCCTAATAAATAAATAGATAGCCTCAAACCTAGACAATCAATTGAAGATAAAACCTAAACTTTCATATAATGGCTTAGTACCATTTTTGTTTTACTTTTTTTCCCCTGTGTAATAACAATAGCCAAACAATAATTTGCAATCTACGTGTTTATAGTTAAATGACTAAATTGGTTATTTTATTTACTTAATTTTAAAAAATATATATATTTAATTGCCTAATTAATGAATTTTGAATTCACTTTATCTGAAATTATTGATGTAGTGCAAGTTATTAAGCACATTATATGTGCTACATGCTAAAATCTCATGTAAAGATATAGGTCATGTTTGGTTTGTATTTGTGAAACAATTTTGAAAAATAATTTTCTGGAAAGACTTTACAAAATTTGAAAATTTGTTTGGTCATACGTTTTGAAAATAGTTTTGGAGTTTGGGGTGATTTATTTTTATTTTATTTTATTTTTTTGTGATTGAATAGATGGGTGTGAGAGAAAAAGTGATTGGTTGATGTGTAGGATGTGAGAAAAGTAGAGATGTGAGAGAAAAGTGATTTTGAATATTTTTTCAAAAATTTTCAACCAAACAAATTTTTGAAATTTTTTCTCAAAAATTGTCTCTCAAGAGATGAACCAAACAAAGTCATAATGTTTCATTAGCTAAATCATGGTAAACAAAACAAACAATAAATTTCTTATACTAACATAAAACTACGCATTATTTATAACATGTGCTTCAATTCAAAGGAGCATGTGCCTCGTCTCATGCCTCGAGCCTGCCTAAGCCCCAAAAGACCTCGGCATCTCAATGCCCTCTCGCGTTAAATATCACTTTTAGGAATACAATTAAAATTATTATAGGATTAAGGGGAAAGGGAAATTTCAATCTCTCATCCATGTCAAAGAATAGAAAGTTTTCTTTACTACCAAATGTGAGCTTCTTTTGTAGACATGAGCACACTAGGAGTCTAGGCGGAATAGAAGAGTCCATGTAACAATGCTTAAGGATGCTACACCAACTTTCCTTATAATTATAGTATCTATTAATTCAAATGTTTTACCCGGTTAACGTTCATACATGACAAGTTACTAATTTAAACCTACTATCCTAAACTAGATTCTTTACCCGTGCTTTTCTAGAGAAATGCCCCTTGCCTATTCTTCACCACAACAACAACAAAAATATCAGCAATAAAGAAGAAATTATATAAAATGGCACCTAGGATTTCTCATAGCAAGGACAAATAATGCCTTTTGCTTGGGAAATGATAATTGTAGTCCTCATTCTAGTAAACAAACATGTCATACCATATATGTCATTGAATGTTATTTTTTTTCCCAGTAGAGGAAAAAAATGATGTACTTGTAAACAAAAGAATAAAGCTCATTTCAATGATGATAAAAAAAAACATGTGGTAGAGGCTATAACTGTCTATTATATTTGAGACATCCTTGTCACGTTTTGCATGTAAATAAAATGTGGGACAATGAAGTACATATAACATTTCATCATTATAAATTCTAGAGAAATATTGTTCAATAAAATTTTCTTCACTAATATGACGTGATGCTGTGTACAGATTAGGGAACCTTGGCCACTGCAAATGATACTGCATCGTGGTGGTGTTTTGTTGGTAAGGGTGGGGGGGATCTCTACTTAAAAAATTGATCTCCAATTAATCTAGGTTAGGTAGGACGTACCTGTTCAAAGTATGCATTACGTAATTGTGCATGGTCACGAGCTTCGTCTCGCATTTCGGAGTACATATTCCCTGCCATCTCAACAATGTTAACAGTATGTACATGAGCAGCACTTGTCCCACAATTAAAGTTTTATAAAGCAAGTAAATTTGTGGACACAGAAGTATTACCTACTGCTTCTCCAGTTTCAAGCCAGACAGGAGCTGCCTGGGATGAACTCCGACTTTGTAACCTATCCCCACCATAGATGCCCCTACCACCATTGTAAGAGCTAGCCAATACATTTGCAGTTCTACTTGATCCAACACTAGCATCAGCAGAACCATTTCTATCATACTTCCATATACCAGAATCCTGAGAAGACATTTTCCTGACAGCTGAAGCAAAATCTGTAGTACTTCTTGTAGGAATGGAAGAGTTAGATTTGAACAAGAGCAAACTGTCCTTGCTGGCAGACCGATGAGGACTAAAAGATTGCTGGATATCATCTCCAGCATATTTTGGCAGACCATTTTGAACATCTTGCACAGAGAGTACAGGAAAATCCAGTGCACTGAGATTTGGAGCTGACAATGCCTTTGGGTTGAAATTCTGATTCAAACCACAATCATCTTGCAGCTACAATCATAAATAAATTGTTCTGAGAAAGACCCAAGGTAACAAGATCTGTGAATCACTCAAGGAACCTAAACTGCATAATTTTCTTAGTACATAAATATAAAAAATGTTTTAGTTTCCAAATATAATAGCCATTAACTGCACCAAATTAGTGAAGCATATGACTGATATGGCCTAAATCAAACTAAGGAAACATATTAATCAAGAAAAGCTTGATACATGAGAAAGGATATGTTCCACATTGAGTCACTAGCTCCCTTTTGCAACACCAAAACAATGAAGTTAACTCATATTTTACATAAACAGATTTCATCATTTGAGTTTTTCAATCTTATTCTACTTCGTCTAGTTCACCTGCCTAAGAAAGTGGAAGCTAACATAAGAACAACGGTTGCACTAAGTCACCTAATTTCTGAACAGTAGTGAACGGTTCCCTGCCAAAAGAAGGCATCAGAGGGACTGCTTTCCACAATTAGCATCCAACCCATTAAAAATTTTCAGTGCTTCTATGCAAATTCTAGGATGTAAAACAATATTTCCCCTATGTTACATGGACTCAGGTACAGGTGTCGGCTGCGGATATGTATTTAGAAATCGAACTCATCAAACCATAAATTTAAAGGTACACGGACTCAGCAAAAAAATATCATATTTTGATATTTTTAATCAAGTATGTGAGATAAAATAGTGCTATATGTAACTTAAAGTGTCAAAAAGGCATTTATAGCAATTATACAACAATATGTATATAATAAAGTATTTGACACATATTCCATACCTTTGTCCAAGTGTCGGGTATCCGACACGGGTATTTGATTTATTTTGAAGAGTCCATGCAACATACCACTCCATATATAGCACATATATATACATATATATCAAAAAAAATTCTTACAGTCAAGTTAATTGGAAATGTATCAGCCCTTTCCTTAATTGAACTAGATCTTGACCCTTTAAGAAAGATTTAAGCCCATTCAACTTGGCCAAAGTGAAAGTGTTGAGCATACCTCAAGTTGAGTAAGCATTTCAATTGTCAGGTTCAAGTCACCTCCATTGGTAACATACACCTCTGCAAGGCTCTCAGCAGCAAAACCAGGAAATTGTGAAGCTAAAAACTCAAGAGGATTCATCTCTGTATTTTCTGCTATTGCTTGCTCATTTAGCATTCCCTGTCTAGAATTCCCATTATATGGAAGCCCCTCTCGAATAGTTGTAAGAACCTGATCGTTGTCCACAATTGGCTTTCCCCAAGGTTTAGGTGGCAAATGAAGGAAGTTGGCTGAAGATGCATCTTCACCATAGGATGCAACAGAATATCTCATCTTCTCGGCAAAGCTATTCCTATTGATTCCTTGAGAAGATAATTCATGCTGCTCTTTCAATATAAAACCACTTCCTGTAGAAGGAGAGAACCTGAAGGTTTCATTTCCATCATGCAAGGATAAAGTTGAAAAAGGGATGCTGTTGATTCCCAGAGACTCATCTTCCCCCATAACCTTAAAGTCAGGAGTGATATCATCAGGGAGCTGGTGGCGCCAGAACTGGTGAGCCTCGTCATCAGAATTATTTGAAATTGATGATTCTGATCGATCTATCACTGCTTTTCCTAATGTCCCAGTCCCAGAGGCACCCAAGCTTGTCGACAAATCAGCAGTGCTGGTGCTTCCAGCAGATGATCTGAGAGCAAAGGGGATGAATTCTGCAGCATTTGGATTCAAAGTCATCGCCTTGCCTCTGGTATTTAGCTTTTTATCATTGGTAGTGACCCCTTTGTTGGACAAGCTCATTCCTTCTTTGTTTTTTTCTTTTGTTTTGTCAAATAAGGAAAGAAAAAAAGGATTCTACATACGGTAGATAAGAAGACTTCGGACTGAGAAAGTACCCAAAATTGCACTGGTCATTACCCAAATCCTGCAAAACAAATTAATCACAAACACAAATTAATCATCCCGGTTCACATTTGATGATGCACAATGTGCACATAATCGAATCCTTGGAATTTAATATTTGACAACTAAAAAAGAGGCTTTGGTGATTTCTACCCTGATAGCAATTCCGCAGTACCATTAACTAAGTAAAATAAGTACGTCAACATATACCAATTACACGGGCTGTATATAAATCAAGTTATAAATAGGAACGAACGACAAAAACCAGTAAATACAAAGAACAAACGGACCATTCCAAAGAAATCATCTCACAACCCAATTGCAAGTCCAGAGATAAGCTTAAGCTAAGACCAAAAAGTGAGTTACTTAAAAAGAAAATAACCCATAATTAAATACCAAATTATGCATTAAATTACATATGATACGAATTCGAAACAAAATAAGCCGACAGAAACAGTGTCCTAAATCCTAAGACACAAACAATAATGGATGATTTACACAACCCACAATTAATCAAATTTCACACATCAAACAAAAACCCTAACCAGAAAATCCAGGATCAGACATTAACTACAACATCTGACGAAATTATATTTTTTTAATAAACTAACAAACAACCACAAACTTGCACTTCTTCGAAAAATCAATTATGAGAGATGCCATAAATATAGGGAAACATACAAAAAAATTAGAAAAATCACAAATGACGAACAATAAACAAGATTTATATATATCTATATATACGAGCTGAAAGGTAAACAAAAAGGAAGTAGAAGATCGGGCGGTAACAGATGATGACGATGAGGTAATTATATATACCTTTGCGAAGCTCTATGATTGAAGAAACCAAATCGAATGGATCCATAGAACAACATAAGGATGAGATATGCAAATAGCGAGAGAGAGAGAGAGAGAGAGAGAATAGTACACGCACAGAAAATAAGATTTAGTAATAATATGTCTTCTTCAGTGTCTGAGTTTCGAGCCTGCTGCGTCTATCTGAACTTGTTCGTGTTTTTCGCTCTCTCGCTGTCTCGCTTCTCTTCAGATTTTCTTTTGTGTTTTTCTTTTCTGCCAAACACTCTTCGCGACCACAAAATGATTTTAAAAAAAAAAAAGGGTGAAATGAAACCCAACCCCTTCGCCACTAGATTTGACTCTCTCTCCCCCTCTCTCTCCACTGTATTATAAATCATATTATGCATTAAAAACACTTATGAATGATAAGTAATTATCAATTAATATATATATTAATGCATTAGTTAGGGCTATGTTATTTAGCTATTATATAAATTATAAATATCTAAAATTTTTAAAATTATACCACATTATCTGTTAGTATATTAATTGATATATATAGTATTATTCAAGCAATTAAGCACATCCAATTTGGTTAAGAAAAATATTCAACACAACTTAACTTTTAAGAGCATTTTCAATGTTTTATCCTTTTTTTTAATTAAATTTAAATAAAAATTTCATCTGATATTATGCGCTTCAACGAATTTTTATCAAAATATCGGTCGACCAGGTGGACGACCGGGTTGATGTCTAACCAATCGACCGGCCAGTGTAATTTTTTCACAAATTTTTATAAGAAGGTGGTCATTCGAAGGGACAGGGACAATCGGGCAGACATCTGACCAGTCGTCCGGTGGTGAAAATGACTTGTAGTTTCAACGACTATGAACAGTAATTCGATGAAAAAAGCACATCCATCCTTAATTTGATGAAAGATTTGAGAGATCCTGAATTTGATACTTATTTGGTGATAGGTGTCACGACTCCATTCCGCCCCTAGTAAAATGGTGCCGTGATAGCCAGTAATCCGAGATTACCAAAGGCCAACTCACGGGGATTCACACACAAATCAGAGTATACATATATGCATGTGTACTCATCTTTTTTTTGAGTTGCACATTTTGATTTCTATGCATGTGGACTTATCTTTCCTTTGATTTAAGTGCATGCATTCCAAAGTAAAGTGATTTAGTCTATACTTGCTTGCTTCAAATAGTAATTTTAGCATTAATAATTGGAACATGGGCATATTTTTGTTATAAATCTCATATTATGAATTAGTAAAGGCCGATATTTGATTGGGTAAGTGGGGTTGCTCATTCATGACCTTCTGCTCTCATACCTAAGTTCCTAAGCCAAGACATTTTGGTTGTGACAGACAATGGCTTTCATTTGATACGAGTCATGGGTTTCTTAGTTTTCCCAAAAGATTAGGTGGCAACTCTGAGTATGGTGATATAGTCCATTTTTGGCATTTTATGTGATTAGTGGATTTTCCATAGATTTGCCATATTTGAACTCTCATTCTATTTTACATTGCACTCGTGAAACCAGATTAGTGGTGTGAACTGTCGAGCGCACTCGGACATCCATCCAGGAGATCCTATAGTTAGTCGCATAAAAAACTCTTTCAAAACATAGGGGATTGAAAAGTTCCAAAGTGGTTTAGTCTATACTTGTTTGCTTCACATAGTACTGTTGCATTAGTAATTGGGTTACATGTTCATATTGTGTTAATGTGTGATGTTTTGGGTCTTTTAAACCATGATTAGTGATGTTAATTCGGAAACCAAAAGTTATGATAGAACTATTCTTATGTAAAGAGCCTCTTAATTCTCTTATGGCCTTGTACTCCTTCGGTACTGTCATCGTTCCAGTGTGTGAGTGCCCTTGTGTCAGGACTTAAAGTCGGGAGTGTGTGTACGAGTTGAGAAAGTTTGGGAAACACCTTGAAATTGAGTTGGCCTTGTTTTATCCTTGGGTTCACTTGAGCGCAACTTCGAACGCTCAGTGGTCTTCATGGCCTCCCAGTTCTATGTTCCAAGTCTGAGACACTAAGAGGGGTGTGTTTCATACTTGAGTGAAAAACCCATTACTAAAGCAGTCTGTTCAGCAAATGTGAGAGATATTGGAAAGGGCTGTTTCTACGTTCGAGCACAACTTACAAAGCTCGAGTAGTCTATTTGAATTCTTTGCTTGAGCGCATGATTCTTCGCTCAAGCAACATGTCTGGAGTCAGTTTCGAAAAGTGTGTCCAATCACTTAAAAGTTAATACATCTCTCTTTTCTCTTTACTTTTTCATTTCTCTCTCTCTCTCTCTCTCTCTCTCTCTCTCTCTCCCTCTCTCTATATTTGATTTCCTCTCTTTTCTCTCATCTTTCTTCATATCATATCAAAGTATAAATCATTCTCCATAGTTTGAATAATACTTGCATAGTTCATACGTCATTTTAAAAAAATTAATCAAGATAAGAATGTCATAGTATTATAAAAATTATATAAGAGAATAGTTTTAATCCATTTTATTTTAAAAAAATGATGACAAATGTGCTGGTTTCGATTTTAAGAAATATAACAAATGATAGCTTTAATCATAATGTGAGTATCATAATCAAATCAATTTGATAAAAGATTTAAATAACTAGTTTAAAAGCTTTTATTTTTATAATCTTCAATGCTTCATCAAATTTTTTATTAAATTTGATAAAAAATTTAATCTAATGCACTTTAATGGTTTCATCAAATCAAGCCAGTCATCCGGTCTAGAATAAATTTTCATCAAATCCATCCTAAAATCAGTTGTCCAGGAGATTGTTCACTCAGTGGTCACTTGCAAAATTTAATAAAAAAATAAACACTCCATTTATTTGATAAAATAAATTTCGCTCACTTTATTTGATATTAATATGATGAAACAGTTGGAACACTATTTTTATTAATTTTTCATCAAATTTAAATTTAATAAAACATTGGAAATAGCCTAAAGGACAATAAGAAATTCATATATATCATCTGATAAAGAAGCACTTACTCTATTAGGCAATTTTCCTAATCTTACAAGCTAAAAAGATTAACAAAGATCATAATAAATAAATAAAAAATTAAAAAAAAAAAACTTTCATAAAATTGAAAATTTACTGTTCAGTCTATGAATTTATTCTTCAATCAAATTAATGTACAAGATAAGCTCACAAAACTAGTCCAGTAGAATTTTCCATGAAATTGAGAGAGAGAGTGATGGAAAGTCAAAGAAAGGAGAGAAAGAAGATGGGAATAATCTTCGTACCTGCTTCCGCGTTGCTTACTCCCACAGTCCAAAAAGTAGATGCAACACCCAAGAACGGCTTAAATTTCGAGGACGAAATTTGTTTAAGGGGGATAGATTGTGAAACCCCGTATTTTTATATAATAAAAATAATATATATTTTTAATTTTCTTAAATAATTATTCACAATATTTTGAATTTAATAGTCTGTATATTTTTATACTGAACATTTATTCAAAATAAAATGAAATAAAATATTTTTTGACTTTATATTATTACTCAACATTAATTTCTGAGCCGTATGATATTTTTATTATATTTTTCTCTATATTTTTTTTGTAATCAAATTACACTGAAACCTAATATTTTCTGCACTAAAATCCAATCAGAAACCATGGGCTTGCTCCCCATGTTTTCTCACATCCCGCCTTCCACGTGCAATCATTTCCTATAACAAAAGAAACGTGGTGAACATGCTGTGTTCAATTTCTTTTTTTTTTTTATTTCTTTTCATTTTCTTTGATCATCTTTTACTCTTCCTCATTTTGCTTCTCTTCCAATTTCATAGCTTTCTCTCTATCCGTTTCATCTCTCTTTCTCTACACCTCTCATTCTCAAAACTATTTCTTCTTCTTTATCTCTATTCTTATTCCTCCTCCCGACCTCCATAGTCACGGCTTTAACCCACACTATCACCAACTCACGAACTTCACCACCATTGGCGCACCGTCGGACCGCCACCACCACCATCACCTATTTCTATTATCATCAAGAACCACCATTCACAAAGTGTTGTAGGTGAAGAAAGAGAAGAAGAAGGAAGATGGAGGAGAAAGAAGCAAAGTTAGAGAAGTTTATTTTGAAGTTCAAAAGTTGGTTTTCGGCTTACTTTCGGCATGCCAAAACGATCCATTCCGGGAAGAAGTAAGACAAATAGGCCATGTAAGATGAAGTACGAAGTAAGTTGAAGAGATTGGCGAAAGAATGAAGTAAAACCGTTAAGAATTAAGAAAGTTATGGGGTCCGAAAGATGGTTCGAAAAAAAATGTCCGAGACGGTAGGAAAATAATCTTATTTTTTTTGTCAAATTTTGAAGATCCGACGGCATGCAAAAAGAGACAGAACGAGGCATGTGAGTAGTGAACCAAAAACTAAGTCGTGAGGTGAATCCAATGACAGAAAAATAAGATAAAACGGAGTTACGATGAAGAAGATACAAGCATTTGAACTGGTGACATTGAAACTAAAATTCTGGGTCTTCTGTTCGTGCATGCTACGACTGTTGGAGAAGATGAATTGAATTTTATCCAGCGTTTCTCGGCCCTTGGTGCTGCGGTGCATCATAGTACTTTTAGGTTAATCGAGTGGTCCTATGGCTTTGGGAATGACCACCCTTAGGTTTTTCGACGTGTAGAATCCATTTTGGGGGTTAGATCTTTCAAATTCTAAGTCTAAGATGATGATCAACAACTAAAGGTTCCAAGAGAATCCAATGAAAGATCAACAGTGAGATCGTGTCCGATTAATGTGAAATTTCAGCAAGACGATCATGGAGCCAGGACGGTCATATCTTACGATCAGAATTATAAATCAAATTCGGACGATAAATCGCTGGCAACCTAACATAGTAAGAAAACCCTATCAACCCTCTCATTTTTTTATATATTTGAAATTTTCAAATTATATACATATGATAAAATGTCTAAACTTGTAGATAGAATTTTATTTATATTTGTATGAAAATTATGATGGTACATCAAATTTGGACTTGCATGTGTAGTTTATGCCATTAAAAAGATTATTGAAGATGTTATTTGGCCCTTTAAATCTGCCAGAAAGTTGTACTAATTTTTAGACAATTTTATACTCAAAATTTGAAGATGATTTCTTCTACAAAATTGTTGATAATGATGTCTAGTTCATTCACAAACTTTTTCAACAATTATTGAGTTTTGTACGAATTTATAC